GATCTTCACAAACAATTTACTAGCTACCCGAATGAAACCTCACAATTTCAACTGCTCTATTCTGGGATGGAGAGGTTCAGTGGCACTGCAGAAACAGAAATCTCATCTTTAAAAGGCTTCCGACAGTTTTAGATTTCATTTATATCTTTCTGCAGTACGTTTATCTTGAAAGTAATGCTCAAACTGAATACTGTCTTTAGAAGACTGGCAGCAAGCTGTTGGTTGAGAGACAATGAAGATGGAGCAGCATTAATCAGGCAAGAGTTTATACAGATTCACAATTCAGAGTATCGCATATTTGGTACAAACTCAGATGCTTAACACATTGTTTATTTTGCACCCTGTTGTCACAGCTTTTTGTCCACAAAAGGACTGACATAAACACAATATTGTAACTGACAATATAACGAAATGCTTTGTTTCCATCTCCCAAAAACCACAAGTTACTTGCTTGAGGCTAGTTAGTAAACGAACTTTGTCCAAACTAAACACAGGTCTTCACATTCCTATAGCTTAGCCCTTCAGATGAGATACATTTGCCCTTCTGTCAAGCCAATGTGTCTGCTGTGGCAGCATGATGAGTATGTAAAAGCAAGTGCAATTTGACAGTTATTTTAAAAATTGGCAGAATGCAAACAATCTACAGTAGATGTTAAATCAATCAATCAGATGTAGGTGTAAGGAGATATGCAAAGCTTTCTGACAGAGTAATATTTAATTGTACAGCAAAGTATCTAAATTATAACAATTTTTTTAAAAAGGAATTAACAAACCAAAATTCTCCAACTGTTTAGACCAGAGATGATATTGCATTAACCACTGGTAAAGGAACTCTTTCGGAATAATTTTACAGGCTATATTAAGTGACAATGAAGATCTGCCATATATTACAAGGCTGGTCAGTGAAGGCATTTAAATCTGTTTGCTGTCTCAGACTTCATTAATAGGGATTATCTGTCCAAGGCATTTTTCAACTAGAAATTAATTTGTTTCTATTTCTGGGAGCAAATCTCATGCCTGGCCCCACAGAAGCAGGTAATATACAAACTTGTTGCTGCCTTGTCTTTTGTATTGTTGTTACATTCAAGCAAATGTGATCTGTGCTGCTGTCCCAGCACTATGGCTAACAAACATTCCAACGTGCCTGCACCTCTTAAAGATAGCGTGCCTGTCTTGAGAATGAGCTCCACTCATTAGAAGAAAGCTGCTGCTATGCCACTCAGCTGGAACGGAGTGGAAAGTAAAGCATGCCAGATGGACCAAAAGCTAAGGAAGGCAATGGTCCAAGAGGTCAACAAAGAGACAGGTTATCTTTCTGAATAGGGCTAGAATGACCACAAGCAATACTCTGCACAGAAAAGGGGTCAGTCGCCAAAGAAGTCAATTCATGGCATCTTACCCCAAGAGTCTGCCAATAGTACTGCAACACTTTCAATATCGTCCATAGGTGATCAAGGTCAGTGAATGTTTCTTCACACGACATTGTTTACCCACTGCAGCATCAAACCCTTCCCCAGTAATCACTCATCAGTATTCTTTACCACTCAGGCCTCAGGTCTGGTATTCAGATACTTCACCTACCTTCACAAAATTTCCAAAGATGCCAGCTTCATACTGCTTCCACAAACCTGCAGCTGTTCAGGTGGACAGTCACTTCACAGAAGCGTAGTGCAACACAATCACTGATATTCTTCCTCTTTCTGGCAGAACAAGATGGCCAATAGCCACAGGGAGAAGAAGAAGTGAACATAAGGAAGTACAGATTGGCTAAATTCAGTGGAGGATATGATGCTCTACATCCATAGGACCTCATTGGTAGAAAGTGGTGCATCTAGAGCAAGCAAGAACATTTAGGATGAGAGATGTATCTGGCTATGATCCTTCTCAAATTTGAGCTCTCCTACATCCTTCTATTTGACATGAAGTACAAACTCCAGATGGCATGTCCATGGGCCTCTTGCTTTCCATTCCTCTTCCATTCACTCACCCAAATCCTCCCCTTCTGACTTTCTGCTACTCAAGTACTGCAGCCGAGAAATGAATACCAGCCTCAAGAGGAGAAGCAAGGGCATCCAATGAAGCAGCAGCACTGTGTTCAAACACTAGAAGTAAACAGAGCAGATGCTATCAATGTGCAAAGCTTGGAGAGTGGTAGAGTTAAGGATCTGCACATATTGAAACACTGAAAAGGAATGGAATGCTACAAGATCAGGAGAAAGGATAGTCCCTTTAAAAGATCCACAAAGAGCAAGTTTTCAGACAAATTCTAGACAAAGTTCTCAGATGAGGATTTTGATGGGGCAACATGCAGGCAATCGCTGATGAGCATTTCACACCGAGACGTCTGGTGCATTAACAGCCTGCCAGTTAGCCTTTTGTTCCTCCTGTCAAACTTCAATTTAATATCGCATGCAGCCCAGCCTTAACACTGTAGTAGTGAAAGCCAACTGCATGCAGTGCTTATGATGGCCAGCATCATAGCTTCACTACTCCTCTACTCTCCATAGCCGGATGCAGCAACATTCACTGTGAAATAAGCAACTCACTACAATATTTCCAAAGTCATTCAATGTTATTTCTGCAAATTTTGCTGAATTCAAAATCATCTCGTCTCTAAGTTTTTGATTGGCCTTTTAAACAGCATTGTTGTAGATGAAGGAATCCCTCATGCAGGTGAGAGTGTTTGTTCAGTTATGAGTAGTTAGCACAGGACCTGCACAGTCCAAGTTTGCAAAACACACATCAAATCAGTGAAGGCATTTGTTCAACATTACGATCAGTTCAAAGTGCTATTCTGTGATCTATGTTCAGTAAAGGCAACGATATCATCTACAAACTATTTATAAAAAACATCAAAGTTTTTGTTATATTATTTAGTTGTTATCAGTTATATTCTGTCAGATAAATTGATGTTTCAATTTCCCATTGTAATAGAGCTGCAGTGAATGTCCAATGGCCAATCACTAATTTTCATTAAATTGCAAATATCAGTCACCTGATGTTCTTCACTTTTTGAAGGAGCAAAAGTTAATGGCATCATACTGTGAGGTGTCGCTTTTATAGGGGAGTGTTCCATTTTTGTGATCAAAAGATACAATATATCAAAACTTGTAAAATGTTTATGAACTGAATAAAAAATAAGCAAACTGTTTTGTAAATTGTTGGTGAAAACAAGAATTCTTTCATCTGTTGTTTTTAAAACATTAATAATCTGTTATCAATGAGGTCTACTAAAATATGAAACATGTCACCACACCCTCAAAGAAATATAGAGGATTTGAAACACAATAGCTCCAATGCTCATTATCAAAACGAAAAAGTTATTTTACCTACATTGTCAAGACCCTACTGACAAGCCTAAAATTAATGACCTAAAACTTTGTCTTTTAGTGTTCTGGTTTGCTGCAACTAAATAGCTAATTCAGTGGACAGTTAACAGTCAACCACATTCGTGTGCAACTGAAGTCACGATTAGGTCAGACTAGCTGAGAACATCAAGCTCCTTTCCCTAACAGTGAACCAGTTGCTTTCTATGACAATCCAAGAGTTTCATTGTAACTGATAGTATTTTAATTGTATTTTCTTAAGAACTAAATCTAATTCCAAATATGTATGATGGAATTTAAACTTATGTCTTTGGAGTATTAGGACAGGTCCTACACTGCTAGGCTGTTAGCTCATCTAAGCTATTTTCAAATTAAGTGATGCTTTCTACTTTATGTAACTGCTTTAATAACACTGGTTGATGAGGTGAACACGGTCACAGATTAGGAAAATACTGTGTGTTTCATAGTTTGGAAAACCAGAAGTGAAAGCGAGACAATAAAGTGAACCAACATAGTCCAAACAGAATATTACAGTTCATTATCAAGAGAATTACACATTTTTCTCCAAATGGGTGTAGAAGCAAACAAGAAGCATGGAGCTTCTTACCATAAACTACACTAAATTTGGAGATGTCCAGCGTGAACTGATTTTATAAATCACGTGGCTTAAAAAAGTAAGGTATATTTAATACCAATCGGAGCCAGTGAGAAACAGCCACCCGATTGAGGGCCTCGCGGTTCGGCGGGGGTAGGGAGGTAATCGCGAGTTACAGAGCCCCTTTGAAGTCAGAGCTCCTGGGAACTCATGTACCTGAACGTGAAAAGTCCGCAGCACTCCAGCAACGGTTCGTGATGGTACAGTGGGAAATGGCACAGTGAGGCGGCTGAGCAAAGAAGTGGTCTTAACCGACAATGAAAGCCACGGAGAAAAACTCAGGAGAGGACTGTGACCTACATCGGTGCTTTATTTATCGGAATGGCTCACTCGGAGAGTGACTGCAACTCCATGAGCCGCGATCATTTTCAAAACGGTGAGCTCAAAGATCCGAAAACTGAAGCAACTTTGTGGCAAAGTACAGAAACAGAGAGAACAGTTCCTATGATTCAATCCAGGGCTGGTCATGTCACCTCCTTACACCTGGCTCTATTTACAATCAGGATCACAGTTGGGAAACAGAAATGTACGATCTTCACCCCTCCGCTGAGACACGCCTTTCACCGCTACCAAATGTTTACTCTGTAGGAACTCAAACTGTGTGCCCCCTCCTTGGGGGTTACTGCTCATAAATGCAGCGTTAATTAAAATAGTAGGTGCAGGGTCACTCCGCCGGTCCATATGAAACTGCAATTGAATTTCAGACAGTATAACACAGTGGCTTCCCCGTGCAGTACATTAAAAATTACAGCAAACTGTCTTCGGAATCTGAGTGATCCAGTCTGGGGTCTTCCACACAAACCCTAACAAAAGTGTTAACACAGATTGCACAGCATTTTTTTAAAAAAAAAAATTTTAAAAAAAGTTTTTTTTAGGATTTATAGACGCTATGGCTTGGAATTTAATATGCATTAACCCGAGCTAAAGCGGCCACGATTAAGTAACAAAGAAAATCTCGAGAGGTCTGGTCGCACGCTGACACCAACACACAGAAAGACCCCGGAATTTTAACACTGTACCTTGCAACTGTGCAGATAAAGCCTCCTGATGCTGCTGGTACTTCGACGCCAGAGTTTCCGCCTTCTTTAACTGATTATGCATCTCGTAATATAACAACAAACCATAAAGGAACCCAAAAACTATTGTAAGAAAGAACAAAGTTTGAAAAATCTTTTTCTGTCGCCTGGAACACATACTGTTTCCCATATTCCCCCCTTTTCCAGCTAGACGCCTACTTGACGGCTCCAAAGCGAAGAATTCGGGGGCTCCCCCCCTTTCCGATTCAATGTTTAATTTTAATGAAACAGGAGCACATCAGGCTTGCAGCATTCACTCGAGCAGCGGCGTGTCTGCAACTTCAACTGCTTTTTCTCGCTCACAATCCTTTCCAGGTTACAAGTTGCAAAGTTCAATATTTTTCAAAGAAAAGTATCCGATCTAATTTTAGGACGAGGCAGTGACTGTGGACCGCTTTGTAGTCTGTCAGGTTGCAGCAAGCCGTATGCTGAAAGACAGCTTTGTAGCAATAAAGTACTGTTTGTGTTTTAACCTCACAGCAACGAAAAGTTCCAGGCCTTTTCCTCAATCTCCCGTCTTACGTGTCACCTCCACTCCGCTACAGCCTCACATCAGACAGGAAATCCCACCCACTCCCATACCGATTGGTAGCATTCCCACCCTCGCCGTTAGTTATTGGAGGATTCTCGGATCGGAGCCCTCGCCTGGGTAAATGGTTAACACCAAGTGACCATCTCACAGAGAAGTGTTGTGATGAAAGTTGGATCCAAAACAAATCCAGAAACGTTAGAAGTTTTCATAAACAGGTTATATTTCATGCCGGATTTGAAAGTGGTCCCACATGTGTACAAAAAGAAAGCCCCCCCCTCCTGGATTACTCAATAACACTTGCAGAGTTTGAAGATAAGACTTCCTTCTAAAAGTTCCTAAAGATTGCGAAGGTGACGAGCCCCACTTGTTCCATCGATCATATCGACCGACAGAATTCGTGTCGGCAATGTCGTAGATTTCAGAATTTTCATTCCTAGTCTGAGCAACGCAAAACGAAGGGACTCAATCCTATGCCAACAAAAATGGAAGATGCTTGGAAATATTTTAAGTAGGTCTGGCACCATCTACATGGAGTGAAGCATTCTGCCACCTATCATGAGGATAGTGTTGCAACATCTTGCAATTGAGGAGCTTTGTCCCGAACAAACCAGGTCAAACAGTTGGTGTTGGTGGGGAAAGTGGTGTTAAAATTTCGCTCGATTTGTCTTTCCTGTAAAAGGACAAAATTTATTTTGCGTTAACGGAAATATAATAAAAGCTCCAGTATTTCGGAATAAATGATAGTAACACGAAGGAAGCCAGCAAAGATGTATGTGTAAACGTAGAAAGGTCCGATAAAAAGGGATAGGCCAAAGCTCAGTTCGGAAACTCTCCTTCCTATTATGTGCCACATTGCAAGGTTGAGAAGTTGAAAGAGCCCTGGTGCCAAGTTTTTGTGGTGATTTCTTCAACCTTGTTGGAAATGTTCATGTATCAACATCTCTGAATGGCCAGGATATGATGCTGCAATAAGTAAATATCCAGAATGGAAAACTCAATATTTGACTGAAGCTCAGAAAGAAAATGCCATTTTTTTGCGTGGAAGAATTTATCACGTATGCGTGGAAACGTTGATTTGATGATGAACCTTATTTGTTTCAAGGATTGATAACAATGTATTTCCAACTTTTGATACTTCCACACAAGGGTTGCTTGGATTAATCATGCACAATCTTTACAAGTCTTTGAAACTGCTGAAATAATTTCTCACTATTCCTGCGGCCACATTAAACTTTACCAACTTAAATTTACCAACTAGTCGAATGAATGTGTTTAATCTGACTTTTCACTGTAAATTTCATCCAAAATAATCATTATGTGTCTACCGTACTCTATTACAAACTAATCTATTTTGCAGGGTTTCTTTTAATTATAAAATATTGAACATGAGAAACAAATGCAAGTGAATCTACTTTATCAGTAGCAATATTACATTACATTTCAGCTGTATTTTTGACCATATATTTTACATTTTCTGATGGTTCAAGAGAAGTTAAGCAATTAGTATCTTTTATCTAATCACAAGTATCAATGATGGAGGGAAGGAATGACTACTGTGGGCACATGCTGACAGTAAGATCAAGGGCATCGTTGAAAACAGGATGGCCATCAATTCCAGTTTCTCTTAAATTCGCAATAAGTAAAATCACCATTCAGATAAAAGGTTACCTGCCATAGTAACTCATGGCATATAAGGTAAAGTCACCATAGTCCCAGGGCCCCATAGGTTTTCTGTCGCCTAAGAGACAGTCAACTGGTGGTGGTTTAACCTGATGGTCACCACGCCTCAGGTAAGGGATACAATCGAGAAGGCAGGACGCTCATGGTAACTTCAGACTATGGAGGAATAAAAGGTCTGAAATGGGAGATCTGAGAATTTGCAAATAACACAAAATTTGAAACAAGATTAATTGGCAGGAGTATTTTAAGCAAACTTCTTGCAGGGAAGATGAGATTGGAAAGACACTTAAGAATAAATTTACTGCAGATAAATGTAAAGTGATACATTTTGGAGATGGGGAAGAACAAATAAAGGGCAAATAATGGTACAACATAAAAGGAGTTGAACAGCAGAAGGCAGACTTAAAGATTCAGAAACATAAATCTTTAAAAACGGGGGGAAAGCTGATGAAACTGTCCTATGTTTTATATATTGGACATGAAGTACATAGCAAAAGGTTAATACGAAACAAATAAAAGCCATTAGGTAGACCAGTTAAAATATTTCATTTAGTTTTGGTAGCTTACTTTAGGAAAGATGTTAAGTCTAGAGAAAGAATGTAGAAGAGATTCACTAAATGATACCAGGCATGACAGCCTTTAATTAAGAAAAGCTAGAGGAACTGGATCTCTTTTTAATTTCTTCCTTCTAAAGAAAATCTTCTCGAATTGTTACAAGTAATTTTTCTGAAAAAAAAACTATTTCCAAGTTGATAAGTTGGTAATTTCAAGGACTTAAACTTACAATCATCATTGAAAGAGCAAACGTTATGATTTCCTAAATACAGAGAATGTTATGAGGTTGTCAGGTGCCCTACCCAAACAAAAGTGAAAGCAGAATCCCAAAAAGAAGTTTGATAAATACTTTAGGCAAAAGGGTAAAGGAAATGGAAAGTGATTGAGACATCAGAGAGCTGGCACAAGTATGTTGGGTTGAATAGCTTCCTGTAAATCTTGTAAATTTATATGACTAGAATATGAAGAATGGATTATATAGAGTGAACCTAAAGTTCGTTTCAGGGAAAGATTCAGATGACAGAACAAACTCACCAACAGCTTAGCAGGAGAAAAGGCAAGTAGGATTGAGTGAGAATTATCCCGAAGTTAGGTGAATGCAATCTTACAGTACAACAAGGGACTTGGCAGTATGTTTTACATTTAGCTAGAATTAGGAAGCACTTTTCCAAAACAAGGAAATTAGTTGCTTAATGTCACTGCAACATTCCAGACTAAGATTATTTTGCACAGATCAGCAACAAGGTAATTAATATGGTGATTTACAATGGCCAGGTGTAAGAGGAGCTGGGATTAATGAAAAAGAGAATTGTTAATTGAGAGAAAGAGAGAAACAGAATATGAGAATTCTTGTCTACAATCAAAACAGATGTTTTGCAGTATACAGTAGTTGAACAATTGAAAAATAGATTAACGTATGAATCCCATGAGAGAATGAGCATTAGTAATATGATAGGGACAGAGTATCTCTCTTCTCATGGAGAATTTATGAAGCCAATGATCACATGATGTTGAAGAAACCTTAAAGAACTAGATTATTGTTGCACGATAGGGTCCAAATTAAGCTGTTCTTTCAGGTTTGGTAGAATTGGTCACTCCTTTTAGTAGTGGTAGCTTCTTAGTAGGGAATGTTCCCATATTGGTCCAAAGGTAAATGTATAATAGCATTGTCCAGGTGAAACAATGATAACCTTTATAAATGCAACTATATATCAGTGTCTTTCATAATTGCATCTATGTCCACCTCTTCAAAATTTTCAAAATGCAGAATAATTAACAAGTCAAGAACATTAAAAAAAGTTGTTCAATTTCACAGCAAATTAATATGTAGGGATATCATAATCAACTTATTTAAATTAATACAGGTTGTCTCCATGCAATAATACAGAAATCATGAACACTCTGTTATGACCCTTTTATTTACTGACCCGAACTCTCTCTATATCAGGGAATAAATCAACAGTACACGTCGCCCAGTGCAGGGCCTTTGTAAAGATAAATATTTATAAATACCAGAACCTTGCAACATAGCAGTAAATGCAATTTGTTCTGTGGATTGCGGAAATCAAAGCCTGATTATTGAGTTTATGTTAGATTAAAACTGATAATGTTTCAACTCAATGCATGAATCAAATAATTTGGATAAAAACTAGTGACAGGCAACTACTGGTATTCAGCAGATGTGAGATGTCAGTGAAATAACTCTGCAGAGGTTGGCACCCATCACCAAGTCACCGTTTATTTACAGGTGGAAAGTCCTTGACACTGATCCAGCTCCCTCAGAACCAGCTGTCAGAGTGAAGAAGATGTCTGACACTCCTGTTTATATCTGTCAGCCAGGCCTCCCTGATTAGACCTGATGAACAGTCCCAATCAGGAAACTCATATTCTATGCAAGTCCACCTGGCTGACCTAATTACAATCACAACATCCCTCCCCTGCTGAGTCTGAGGATATTGGCCGGTTCTACTTTTGCAGCTCCTCCTGGGGCATTTTAGCACCAGGCCAGGTTCCTCGAACTCTGCCTCTGATACGGGCAGTGTATAACCCACACCAGCTCACCTCTTGCCCCAGAGCATCTTGAAAGAAATTCATTCTCCACTTCAGGTGGCAAAGGTGTTGTGACAGCGACATCCGCTGTGTCAATCTCAGATCCTGAGGTATCTTCAATGCTTGATGGGAGGGAGAACCAAGGGTTCCAAAACAGTTGGAAAGGCAGTCGAGGAGCCGGGCATGTGTTAATCTTGCACCGTTTGTGAGTTTGCAGCTTTCATATGGTCCATGCACTTGTTCAGGACCATCGCACCCATCCAAACTTTATACATCATTAGACTTGACCTCGCATCAACCATGCTTCTTACCCAAGCAGGGCCATTCCCGTGGCTCCTACATCAAACTTCCTCCCCTGAAGTAAACTGTCTCTCTAGTTTAGCAGAGTCTTGTGTCCAGCATTGGTGTTCCTGATGCCATTTCACCCTCCACCCCAGATCCAGGAAGATCAGATTTAATCTGATGCGGAGTCTTCACCCCATTAGCAACTCTGCTGGAGCTATCCCTTTTACTGCGATCCATGATAACTGAACTAGCTGCTTCTCGTGCAAGATTGGAACTGAAGTTGTACTCTTAATCTTTAAGGGTTCCCCTGTATAGGTTCTCAGTCTAGCTAAGGTCTTGCACAAGCTTAAGGTTTGGAGTCTAGAGCGAATTTTGTTCAACACTGGTTCTGCGATCACTGTTTTAACTTAAGGTGTTTCTTTGAGGAAGAACCATTAACACAAAAAGTAACAGGGAAGTGTTCAGAAATAAATTCAGCATTTAGGGAAATAATAAAGGAGGATAAATAAATCTTTATTGGGAATGAGGACCCAACTTTTTTTGAGCATACCTCGTCCACTCTCAGAAAATAGGATGCTGAATATTGACACTGGTTTGTGCAAGAGGTGTGACCAGATTTAATTTTTCATGTTACATCAAAAGCTGCTGAGTCATTTTGTACCTTTCTTAAAGGTCAGTTTGAAATATTCAGTTAAATCCCTTCTCTAACATTAAAACACATTTTTGACAGCTTTCAAAATATTGATAATGTATCAATCTTGAAACATAAGCAGAATTTTAAACGGTAAATATTTAAGATATGTCTTAATCCAAAGAAGTTTAAAATGTTTGCAGTTGCAGGAAATCTTAAATCCATTTAACCAATACCCATATCTGCAACATGTTTAAGTAACTTTCATGATTGTTTTAAAGGAAGTATACCACTTATTTTATCAGCTGAGATTACAATTGTTTCATGTGGAATGCTTACAATGAACGTACATTATAAAAATAGTTTGTACTATGTTACAGTGATGTCAGTATCCCATATCTTCACATTGTATGTCTTTTTTGTGCAGTTACTGGAAACGTGAAATTGATATTTTGGACCAAATTGTTCAGTGCAAATTGCTACATTGATATGATCACCCACAAGTACAGGCTGTCGTCACAGGGGCACATTGTTGTTTACCAGTAGCAAACCAGCCTAGACATTTTGGTGTCAAATTACATTGTAATCCATTCTGAAAGACTGAGATAGTAGGAACTGCAGATGCTGGAGAATCCGAGACAACAAGGTGCAGGGCTGGATGAACACAGCAGGCCAAGCACCAAGCAGCATCATAGGAGCAGACAGGCTTTTTTTACTACGTTTCAGGCCTAGACCCTTCATCAGAAAAAGGGGAGGGGAAGGGGGTTCTGAAATAAATAGGGAGAGAGTGGGAGGCGGATAGAAGAGGGATAGAGGAGAGGATAGGTGGAGAGGAAACAAACAGGTTGAGGAGGCGGTTTTTTTTTTAATACATTTCGTCTGCTATTCTGAAAGACTATTGCTTTAACCACCTGCAATGGTACTGTAATCATTAATTCAATTTAAAGATCATGTCAGACTTTATAAAACCACATCTTTAAAGTAGGATAATGCTGAAAGGGAAAAAAGCATTC